CCTTTTTAATCTTGTAATATTACAACTTTATTCTCATAATATTATGACTTTATTTTATACTACTTTAATCTTGTAATATTACAACTTTATTCTCATAATATTATGACTTTATTTTATACTACTTTAATCTTGTAATATTACAACTTTATTCTCATAATATTATGACTTTATTTTATATGATTTTAATGTCGTAATATTATGACTTTATTCTCGTAATTTAAAAAAAAATTAAAAATCTTGTTCTGTGGCCCTAATACTCCATCGTATATTTTAAATATCACATCCCAATTTAGTTTTTGCATTTAAATTTAGTTGATTATTCGGATTTTTTTTTCACCTATTTACTCATAGGTGATTTTGACGCCCCTGTTTTCACCATTTTCAGTTTTTTTTCACCAACTTGTCCACAATAATAAATCTCTAAACTGCCATTGATTTTATATTTATCTCTCTACATACTGGCAAAACCATGGACTTCAAATAGAGCAGAGTCAATAACAGTGACACAGCATAATTTTATATTTTCTCATATAAAAAAGTCAATTTTTTTCTTCTGAAGTTGTGTTTCTTCATGTGGTTGCTATGTCACAACAAAAAAGGGGGAAAAATCAGCGTGGTTGTTTCCATACAACAAATCTTATTTGTGTTCTGGGATTATAATGTATGCATTCACACAGGAACATCACAAAATTTAAGTACCAGTAATATACAGATGGCACAACAGTGGTAATTTTTAGTTTAGAATTACACAGTCGTTTGAATGTGTGGGGTAAAAAGTTTGTGATTATTCAGTGACTGAGTGCAGTGATTGGAGTAATGGGGCAGCCAGTTAAAATCCCTTTCTTCTGAAAAAAAAAAAGTTTTTTTCCACTGGTTCATTTGAGCAAAACGGAAGACTCCTTGCTGTGTGCACAGAACTAGTTAGTCCCCTGTAGTGTGTTTTGGGCACAAACATCTAAAATAAATCACTTCAGATCCACCCTCTCAGCAAGCAACTTCCAGCAATTGTTCATCAGGAGACTTATCTGTTTCTCCTCAGACGGAAGGGAATGTCGGATTATTGATGGCCTAGTTGTAAAAACATGCTGCAGTAGAGCTACAACTGTTTACTGCCAAAAATCCATTATTTCAACAGCATTTAACTTAAATTTTACATATTAGAAAAAACAAAAGTGCTTAATTCTTGCATTGATTTCTACTGTTTTATTTTAGGCAGTAAATACTTGAGATAATTTGTGTTTTGCAAATTACTTTATTTTTTGGATTTAAAATCTGCTTTTGTGATTAAAAGCCCAAAAACTTTAGGGAAAACATGCTTGAGGTCAGTTTAAGTGACAAAAAAATCTAATAAAATCACTGAAAGCTGATACTTTGAGGAGGAAAGATAAGCAAAGAGAAACAGGAATTTGTGGTGTGTGTGGTACACAATGATTCATAGAATCTGAAGGAATAAAGGACATGAGAACAAGATAAAACTGGACATCTGTTATCTCCAAATTCTATGGAGAAACATAATTCATCAATGTTTTATTTATTATTTAAGGGATTTCTTTGGAAAACCTTGTTTTGGGGAAATTACACTGAATAACATTCACAAATTCTATCTAAACGGTTAAAAAAGGAGCCTAATATACTGTATGATGACAACATACATGGTTTCTGTAATGGAGCTTCATCCTGTCCAAATGTAGATTGTGGTAATCAAAATTATAAATCAGAAATCTCTTCAGGAAAAAGGGCAAAGTGAGACAAAAATAATCAGACAATTATCTGTCAGTGAAACAGTCCACAAATCACAGTTGGAGATTGGACCCAAGAATAGAGCCTGGCACACGGAGTTAAAAAAGTAAAACTTAACTTTATATAAAATAAAGCAAAAGGCTGATGTGACAGTAAAAACTTATAGGAACTAAGAAAAAGCACAAGGAGGCACAAGGAGGCACAAGGAGACACAAAGAGACGCAGACGTTGCGTGGAAACACAATGCTCGACTGACGAGTGTGTGAAACTGGTGGAGGACTTGGGCTGATGAGAAGACTGAAGATGTCTGAGCCTAATGAGACAGAAAACAGGTGTGCATGAGCGGCAGGCCTGAGGAGTGAAGGCTGACAATAGGAAATTACTGACTGAGGCAAAGAGTCTGACAAAGACAGGAAACACAGAAGGTAAACAAGAAAACTGCTGTACATTGTCCCGTCTCAGCACCATTCATCGTAATTTGACTGGACCCAAGGTCTTGAATGTAATAGTTGGCGTCAGATCACAAATATATATGAAGAATAAAGTTTAATGTTCATAAAAAGACATGAACGTTTTGAATTTGTGCTATTTTTCTAATTATTCCTGTCAATTTTTTTACTTTTTTGGGTTTGAAATATTAACATTTATTTATTCACCTTCATTTAACAGGGAAATCCCATTGACATCTCTTTTCTCTTGTGTGATTTTATCTCTTGTCCAGCGCTTTGTTTGAAAGCGCTTTACAAATAAAGTTATTATTATTATTATTATTGTTTTGCAAGGGAGACCTGGGCCTGATGTTATGTTGTAGGAAACTGGGGTTCCAGGAGAAAAAGAACATGCAACCTTCACACAGAAAGACCCCATCGAACCCAGGACCTTTTTGCTGTGAGGCAACAGTGCTAACCACTAAGCTACTGTGCTGCTGTCTGTTGTTGTTTCAACACTTCACCAAATAGACTCTCAGGTGTTAAAAATTGCCTCCAATACACAGTATATATATAGGTTAACAGCAGCTCAGATTAGAGAACAGGTCAATGCCACACAGAGTTCTAGCAGCAGACACATCTCTAGAACTGTTCAGAGGAGACTGTGTGAAGCGGGCCTTTATGGTAAAATGGCTGCTAGGAAATCACTGCTAAGGACAGGCAACAAGCAGAAGAGACTTGTTTGGGTTAAAGAACATAAGGAATGGACATTAGACCAGTGGAAATCTGTGCTTCGGTCTGATGAGTCCAAATTTGAGATCTTTGGTTCCAACCATCGCGTCTTTGTGTGATGCAGAAAATGTGAACGGATGGACTCTACCTCCCTGGTTCCCACCATGAAGCATGGAGGAGGAGCTGTGATGGTGTGGGGGTGCTTTGCTGGTGACACTGTTGGGGATTTATTTAAATTAAACCAGCATGGCTACCATAGCATCTTGCAGCAGCATGCTATTCAATCCGGTTTGTGTTTAGTTGGACCGTCATTTATTTTTCAACAGGACAATGACCCCAAAAACACACCTCCAGGTTGTGTAAGGGCTATTTGACCAAGAAGGAGAGTGATGGGGTGCTGCACCAGATGACCTGGCCTCCACAGTCACCGGACCTGAACCCAATCGAGATGGTTTGGGGTGAGCTGGACCACAGAGTGAAGGCAAAAGGACCAACAAGTGCTAAGCATCTCTGGGAACTCCATTTCAGGTGACTACCTGTTGAAGCTCATCAAGAGAATGCCAAGAGAGTGTGAAACAGTAATCAAAGCAAAAGGTGGCTACTTTGAAGAACCAAGAATATAAAACATATTTTCAGTTGTTTCACACTCATTTGTTCAGTATATAATTCCACATGTGTTAATTCATAGTTTTGATGCCTTCAATGTGGATCTACAAATTTCATAGTCCTGAAAATAAAGAAAACTTTTTGAATGAGAGGGTGTGTCCAAACTTTTGGTCTGTGCTGTATATTGTAATGAACTAAAGAAGTGCTAACAAACCAAATATGGACAGTAAGTCAACAAAAAATAAACTAAAACCCCTGATGTTGGATCAGGATCTGAATGCTTGACTTGTAGCAGTCTGGTCTCAAATTCCCAGAAAAGGAACAACAAAAAGAAAGGAAAAAAAAGACTCATAGCTGAGATGCAACAAATAGTTTCCCATGTTGTCATGCCTCATATCACCATTTTTTTTCATTCATGCAGAACCTCACCCATCGTCGCTCCATCCACTCCCTGAGATGGAAGCTGCCAGAGTCCAGATGTGTGGCGGAAAGATGAAGGCAGGGTGTTCTTATTTCACACGTGCACCTATGACCCACAGCAGCATAGTTAATTGTTGCAGTGATAAAAGAAAACAGTCTGCAGCACATCCACACGCTGCAGGGTCCTGCAGGACAAAAAGAGGATTATTTACACTGATATAAAAAGCTGTGCATCCTGTTGCTGCGGTTAAAAATAAACCCGGGTCATGTTTGTTCTAAACACTTGCAGATAGATCCAATCTCACGGGGAGTTTAAATTGTTTTTCCTCCTATAAGACAAGATAACTTTGGTCACCTTTAACCTGCAGCTCCGCAGAGCTCTGATTGTGTTAAACACAGAGCTTGGTCAAATAAACAAGCAAATCTTTTTTTGTTTCTGTTTATTTCTGTGCTGGTTGAACTGAGGTGACATGTTGAGCTGTTGTTGTGCGTTTGAAAGGATGTTTCCAAAGTTCCAGATGTTTTTTAGTGAAACAGCTGGTTATATGGTACACCTCAATATTTGGACTGCCATATGATCAGGTTGTGTTCAGTTACTGTGTTGCATGTGATTTTTTTTTTATTTTTATTATTTTTATTTTTCTCAGAACGTCAATTTTCAAATAAATCAGTGGACAAAAGGGAAGTTGCACCTCACACAAAAACACGCAAAATTATTTATTCAGCAAAAGTAAACATGTGTTTTTTTTATTACAATTGAAACATACTTTAAATTTGTCACTTTACAAAGCAGCCTGGAAATACTTAACTTATTTTACCAAAGTAATCTCAGATAACAACTGGACCCATTGTTTCTTTAAACATTTTTAAAACATACGAGAAACAAGCTTGTCCAAATTAGTTTTCTTTCAGCTGGATTTTTTTTGAACGTCTAACATTAAAATCAGTGTTTTATTTAAAAAAAAAAAAGGTCCACACTGATTTATTTCT